CTAACTTCCAGCATCAGGGATCTGCTCGGGAATGATACTCCGACCTCGGCAGCACTAGTAACCTTTTTAAAAGAAGCCAAAGTGACATATAAAGGGCGAACACGAAATTATTGCGACACATTCAACAGGGCATAACTTTTTTACCATTGGGTAAAAATCAACCAAATTTTGCACACTTTCTCATTGATGTGTATTGTGTGCATGCTGTCAAACTCGAAGTCGTGTTTTTCGATTCAACGAAAATGGAGGTGAACCAACGCGAGTTGAGAGAACAAATTCTTTCCAAACACCTGGAATTTCCTGACCTGTCGCACCGGCAGTTGGGAAAAATGTTGAATATTCACCATTCAACCGTCTCCAGAGTGTTGAAGCGGTTCCAGGAGCGGTTGACGTTGGACCACGGCAAAGGAGTTGGAAGAAAACCGGGACCGGAGAACAAAAAGACGGAGGGAAAGGTGAAGCGGATGATTAAAGCAAATCCCAACGTCTCAAGCCGTGATTTGGCTAAAAAGATCGGCATGTCGCAGAGCTACGTTCAGAATGCAAAGAAGAGAGCTGGACTACATACATACAAGGTACAGAACTTCCCAAACCGCGATGAGCGGCAACAATCGACGGCTAAAACTCGGGCACGGAAGCTCTACGAGAAGATGCTGACAAAATATGGCTGCTGTGTGATGGACGACGAAACGTATATAAAAGCCGATTTTAAGCAAATTCCGGGGTTGGAGTTTTTCACCGGCAAGAGCAAGTTCGATGTGGACGACAAATTTAAGAAGAAGAAAATGTCGAAGTTCGCCTCCAAATATCTCATTTGGCAGGCCATCTGCTCTTGCGGACTGAGGAGTGAGCCTTTCGTGACAAAGGGCACAGTAAATGGCGAGATCTACAAATCTGAGTGCCTCGAGAAGCGCCTTTTGTCGTTCTTGCAGCAGCACGACGACGCTCCGCTATTTTGGCCAGATTTGGCATCATGCCACTATTCTAAAAGTGTCCTGGAGTGGTATGAGGCCAATTCTGTCCATTTTGTTCCAAAGGACATGAATCCGCCAAACTGTCCGGAGCTGCGCCCAGTGGAGCAGTACTGGGCAATAATGAAGCGGGAACTTCGGAAGAGCAAGAAGACAGTCAAAGACGAGAAGGACATGTTAAGAAAATGGAAAAATGGCATCAAGCGAAAATGCGTTCAATTTTACACTCAAGGCTCCATCGATTAACTTTTCTTTTGATTTTTGAAGTAAATATATGTATAAAACTACCCTCTGGTTTGATTCTAAACATTATAAGAAAATTGGCATGACATTTTCGGTGTCGCAATAATTTCGTGTTCGCCCTTTAATAGCAAGCTTTGATATTATTTTTATAAAGACTGGACTCGGAAAAAAAATGCGACACTTTGTTTTGGGTGTAACTTTTTATCGCGTGGGTAAAAATTAATGAAATTTTGGGTAATACTAGTTTAGAGTGTTATGTAGTGTTAGTGTTAGTTTTCAAGATGCATTCGAAACAAGAAGAACTACGCCAGCAAATCTTGGGCGTGGTGATGGATAATCCTGGTCAGTTGCACAGATGGATCGGCAAAAGGCTTGGAATCCACCATTTCACCGTGTCCCGCGTTGTGAAGATGTTCCAGGAGACGAAGACCATCGAGCGGCGCGCTGGAAGCGGCCGAAAACCGAAAACGGAATACCCAGAGAAGGCGTGGAAGATAAGGCAGTACTTTAAGAATAACCCGAACCTTTCCACCCAAGACGTGGCCAAAAAGGTCAATTCGTCGAAGTGGTTCGTCCAGCAGACCATGAAGCGGGCTGGGCTACGTGTTTTTAAGGTCGGGAAGGCGCCAAACCGGACTGACAAGCAAAACACGGTGGCCACATTGCGTTGTCGGTACGTCCCGCATGGAGGTTCCGGAAAAGTTCCGGAAGAGAAAGATGGACAAATTCGCGAAGAAGTACCTGTTGTGGTAGGCGATCTGCGAGTGCGGACGGTACAGCAAGCTGTTCGTTACAACCGGCACCATAAACGGGCAGATTTATCGAGAGGAATGCTTGCAGAAGCGCTTGCTGCCCTTCCTCCGCTCTCACAGTGGTCCCACGCTGTTCTGGCCGGATCTCGCTTCGTGCCATTACGCCAAGCCTGTAATGGATTGGTACGAAGCAAAGGGCGTTAATGTGGTTCCGAAGGAGGCGAACCCGCCAAATACACCAGAACTTCGTCCGATCGAAAAGTTTTGGGCGATAATGAAGAAGAAGTTGAAGAAAAGCGGAAAAGCATTCAAAACCGATGAAGCTGGGAGAAATTGTGTAAGGAAGATGGGCAAAGCCTCGCCCAAGATCTCATGAGCAGTGTTAAGAGAAATGTACGAGTATTCAGCTTGGGGGAGGAAATTCAAATCTTCATTGACTTTCTCTTTGGTTTACCACGGCAACATAAACGAATTTCTCGCACAGTTCGACAGAAGATGATGTTATCTTGCGCCTGAATCAACACACTGAATGGAAAATTCATTTGCATTCGGGTTATTCGCGAAAGAGAAAATCGATGAAGAGAATCGATCAACAACGATAGGCCCTTTTTTCGTGTTGCGCGAGATATGTTTGAACATTTAGAAAATCACCCTTCGTGTAAAGTTTACGCGACACACGATCTGTTGGTCCTTTTTCCTTCTACCTTCAACAAGAAGATATAGCTGATTGGTCAGCACACGAGACACCCTCACAAACGACCTGGGTTCAAGACTCGTTGAATCCGTACTGTTGTTTTTTTTTTAAATTTTTATATGTCTGTTATAGCTCAATGTGATATTAGTTTGTTATTGTGAAGTTCAAATACTCTGTTATTCGTGAGATATGCCAATAGCATACTTTGCTATTACTCAGTTGTTAGCCCATACGTTTTCTGATATTATTTTGAATTGTTACCTCTTATATCGATCAAACCAATAGCAAAAATTGTTCATTAGATTTCCTATTTTTAATATCAAAATTTACTATTGGTTAGATATTTGGCTTAGTAGATACTTGCAGTGATCAAAAACTTTTCCCATTCTTGCTATAGCTCTGCTGATCGATATGTTTCAGACAAAATTCCACCATCAAACAACAAGTCCTAATCCACATTCCACCTTCGTCGTCGTCGTCGTCGTCGTCGTCACGTCACGGCGTGATCAATCAAGCGAAACATTCATCTTCACCCGGGCGCTACTGTCAGTGTGGCAACATCACCCACCCTGAATAGAGCTCATCGTTATCCTATTATTTATAAATACACGTAGCGCTTGTTGTCATCGCGTTGTCGTGATTGATTTGTTTTTATCTTGTGACTTGTGAGTGAGCTTTTATCCAGAATCCGCTTCGCCATGCAATCAGGACGCGGTTGGCATCATTGGTCCGATGCCGCCGGGTGTAGTTATTTAGGCGATCCACCTACCTAAAAGGACGGTTGAAGATTCCTTCCGATGCTTATGGAGCTATGATGCTATGTCTTAGAATTTGTCGGTACTTTTACTCTTACTAAAGTACCCGCGATCCGGATATGACGAACGCACCCCCGTCGCTCAACAACGCTGCATCAGCATCGCCCGTTTCGATGAATAGGACGACGTGGGTCGTAATTTGATTTAAATCAATTTAGCAAATGATCATTGCTGCTAGCTACCTAGTGCACAACATTCACATGGTGAAATTCCTTTCCAGTGAAACGCGCTCTAGCTTGGATTAACTTTCTGACCCTCTGCTGCCTTCTTTCCACTCTTGTCGAGCGCGTTGGAACGAAATTGAGGATGATAATGATGATGATGATGATGATGCTTGAATTCGGTACTGTATGAAGTTTTTCGCTAATGAACGATGTGAGCGCCAGCGGTGTTTGTCTTTGCGAATCTTCATGGCGTGTGAATAGTTGTTTTCTAACTGTTTCAGGCTGTGTCTTATGGAGAGTTGTCACATTGCTACTAATGTGACGGAAAGCAGTATTGAATGTCTATTGACTTGTTAATTGCCCCGTCGATTGTTCCAAGACAAACTGAAACAAGAACAGTCCAAGAAATTGCAGTGACTTAGTCCCTAGAGCAATTACGGCCTCGGTATGATAATTACCGTTTCTTGCAGTTATCAGCGTTTACTAGTATCGTCAATAGATGACCTCTTATACACGACCTGACCTCTCATAGCAAACAGACCGGATGATCCGTCAATGAAAGCCGATTTCCTCCCTTGAAGTGTGGAAAAATAACACTCTCGACAGATAAACGGCGAGACAGACACAAAGCGAAATAAGAAAACCGACGCTATCCACTTCTTCTGCCACATTGCTCATCAGCCAGGGAAATCCTATGTCGCGACGCCGGGTGACGACGTCTCGGCCTCATTTTATATTACGATTATCGCTGTTTTCCACATATTTGGCTCCGTCTACACCGCACTTATGTGGTACCTAGGTACATTCATAAATGTGGATGATACTTCTGCTACTACTCATTTGCTCGTATACAGAATACACTCGAATGGTTAAAGTTCTAGAGGAGAACGGATGTGATCCACTTTCTTCCCGTCTTGGCGTCGGTCGGCATGGCCTCGAGACGTTCGTTGATTCAGCCGTCGAAAACGATGAGTCAGATGTGGCGGTGAAAACGTAACAATATAATTATAGCAGACCATCGAGCGCTGAAAGGGAGTGCCAAATCCATTTTTGGATATTGGCCATAAATTACTATTGGTCGCTAAGACGACAACGAGGGCCGTTTTGCTGGATAAAATACGTCTTTTGATAGCCTTTCGTCGTTTCCGTTTCTGCTGTGCGCCGTCTGCTGCAGTAACAAGCTGTAGAATAACAAACTCCCGCATGTGATGTTTATAAATAGCTGCACCTGTGAATGAATCTATAAACGAGCTGATCTTTCAGAGATCATTCTCCTAAACGTACACATCGGTCAATGTTGTAAATGCATTCAAAAACAAACCCAACTAATCCGAATGTATTTTTTCCGATCTCTTCCGCAGGGTGAGAAAAACAACGGCTACGAGGTGCTGTACCAGAATATGAAATATGGCCTCTCGGCGACCAAGGAACTGGCCGAGTACTTTCGCGAGCGCTCCAATCTGGAGGAGTACAACTCGAAGCTGCTTACCAAGCTGGCCAACAAGGCCGGTTCCGGCGGGGGTGGTACGTTTTCACCTCTGTGGATCATCCTCAAATCGACGACGGAACGGTTGTCGGAGCTGCATGCTGCCAAGGTGCAAAAGCTGACCGAGCTGGTGAAGAACATCAACAAGTACGCCGAGGAGCTGCACAAGAAGCACAAGACGGTCAAGGAGGAGGAATCGAGCACCCAGGATGCAGTGCAGGTGAGTCGCATTTGATCGTTGCGTTGGTGATTTGGATTTTTCCAAGAGATGGCGCAGTTTCTTTGGTAGTCATCGTTTGAATTCAGTGTAGAAAAGAGAAAATCGATGATTTCAAAAAAAAAGTACAAGGAGTAATTAAGAATTAGGGGTTTCATGTAGTTACATAGAGGAAAAATTGGTCTACGTTCTGGTACATTTGATTTTAAACTAGCGATTTTACTCAGTTGAAGATGCTAATTTCAAATAACAGTGGTAATTTTTATACGATAGATGAGTAGATGAAAGTATAGAGTTGATAGTTCCGTAGAGTACGGCAGTATGAAAATTATATATAGAGAGTAGAAACCGAGCAAGGACAACTTTTTAGGAAGGTACAAATCGGTTTAATCATTTCTCTTTGCCAAACTCCCCCGTTGGAGACGGATGTAAAATTATCAAAACAGTTCATTTTCATACACTATATTGATGTCTTACTACCAAGAGAGTAAGTTAATTTGTCTCTCACAATACCAACATCTCTCAAATTTCCATGTGCCGGCGCCGGTGGTGTAGAGGTAAGCGTGACTGCTTTCTAACACCCCGATGGGTCTGGGTTCAATCCCAGCCGAGGTCGGTGGGATTTTTCTGAGGCATAAAAATCTCTGGTCACGTCTTCCTTCGGAAGGTAAGTAAAGCCGTTGGTCCCGGCCCATGTGTGTTGAATGGGTGCGATATCCTACGCAGGTGTGGAAGCTGCCTTCCTGCACATTCGATTGCCGTCAATGGATGGCAATCGATGTCCGTCGGTGATTGGCACTAGATTGCGGAACAGAGACCGACGCTAAATAAAGGAAAGAAAGAAATTTCCATGTTTTTTGATAACAAACCAATATACACGGGTCAGCATCTTATTGACTTCAATAAGTAGCCCGTAACATGACTTTCCCGGTATAGGAGCTCCGCCAAATGGCCAACTTGAGTCTTATTGACAATCTTCAATATAGACAGGAGCAGTACGTTTCCTTAGATAAACATGGCTGAATAACTCCCCCTTTATGTCAGAGTAATAAAAGGATGTGTTTGTTTTGATATCGCTTTCTTTTTAAGACTACCCTTATGGAATGTAATAAGGGCATCGTAAAAGTGAAAGAGTCAGGTACAAAACTGGGAGTTCACCATCAAAAAAAAAATCCTGAGTACGGCTACATGTCACTGATACAATGACCTATGTGCGTCTGTTTCGATGTAATATTCATCAACTTTGTTTTGCTATGCTTGTCCAACTGGGGCCTGTTTGCAAAAACCCAATAAATCGATAATCAAGATTTAGACACCCCCTATGTCGTAGTCTGCAGCTGCTTGTCTTTAATCCACTGCGACTAGTAATGGATCAATTGTGACATGCGCATATTTTTAGTATGTATTTTTTATGCATGTCGCATTACTGCATCACTATTGATAAATCGTGAAGTATTCGATTTGGATGCAGTTGTTATTTACCGATGCTTCTGGCTATTTGTGCCCTTCAAAGAATGAGAGGCCCATTTGACGTCGCTTCCTCGCGACAATCAAAATTGGATTGGACAAAAGAACCTTATTCCTGCTTCATAACCTTATCTTGTCTCAATACAGTACATTCTACTTAATACTAGGGAATATCGCCTAATAGTTTTGTAATAACACATTGCCCAAGTAAAATTGCATGGTTAAACCATGTATACCTATGCATATGCATACCTATACCGTATGCATACTTAAAAAAAACTACAAGGGACAGCCCTATGGGGTTGTACGCAATGGTGGCGTAGGACTGCGTGGTCTTATATAATAAATCTTATTTGTTAACTGCAGTAGGAGCTTGTGTTTTGTGTAGGAATAGGAATTTGAGCGGGGTTCTCTCTCTTTATACTCTTTAGTATGACGCGCTTGACATAGATGGCCCACAGCGACTCACGAAGAGCTACTGATTCCGATCAATAGCGGTGCGGCTTCTTCCTCCTTCTATGGATACTCATTAGACTGATGCAAAATTTGAAATTTTCACTCCACAATGCTCAAACGTTTCCAAATTGGGCGCTTATTAGCCTCCTAAAATTTGAACTCATTTAGTGAGAAACTGACTTGGCACAAACCATTTGAAATTTATATGGGAATTACTATGGAGAAACCATAATTTCGATTCATATCTATCTCAAAATTAACCAGTTTACTCTACTTTAAAAAATGATAGCTGAGCTTGTTGAAAATTTTCTCAGTTACAACTTTGCTCAAGACCAGTTTTCGATCAAATGTAAGGAACAAAAGTTATTAATGATTCAAGTCACTGATGTCCTATGATTATGCTCAATCATCTGTTCTGCAGGCAACATTGGTGTTTATGGCGCGTAGAATAGAGGACAAAAACCATGGCTACTATGTTACATTGCAGAATACAGTGTTGCCCACAATACAGTTGCTTAATCTTGCGATAAGATTATCAATCTCTCAAACAATTAATAACTATTTAATTTGACGTTTGGCTGAAAAATGATTTTCTGCAACGTTGTAGCTGATAAAAATTCCCATAAGAATAGCAATAGAATTTGTTAACAGTACAATATGTAAAAAGGCTAAAAGACAATGAACGAAAAGTTTTGTTTTCCCATAGTAATTTCCATATAAACTTCAAATGGTTTGTGCCAAGTCAGTTTCTTATCTTTTTATTAAACTTTCGGAGGCTAATCAGAACCCGATTTGAAACCGTTTGAACACTGTGGAGCGAAAATTTCAAATTTTGCATCAGTCTATTGCTCATGTGGGCTGCGACTCGCTGCTTGCGGGCAGACTTTTGTTGTGTACTGGAGAACACCATCACTCACCACGTGGTGATTGAATAAACACCGTTTGGTGAGACCGGATGCAATTCAACTCTGAAATCGCTTTTCGCAGGCAATCGGTGATAATTTTAATCATCATAGCAACAGTTGCACATTCGTGCAATTTTCAATTGTGACATTTTGAACAATAATAAAGTCTTAATTTTAACAGATTCCTATCGATTGGCGTATTAAGAATTAAAATCCATCATCTCTGGATCAAAATCAGACCACTTTCATGCCGCGATCGACTTTGGTTTTTGAAATTGCACCCCAATGTTGCCTTAAAATACATGGTATGTTATATTTAAACATATTTAGACAGAACTGGAATAAGGACATAGTAGCTTTTGTAAATAATGACTTCTCTCGATGATTTCTAGGAATTCAAGGCACGCCCACACAAACCAACATTATCGTCGGGTATGGGAAGTCTTACCGTACCTGATGGTGATGTTGATTTGCATGGGCTGCCCTCGACTTTCAAGACATCATCGAAATCGAATTGAAAGCTTCAGCAAAACTCTAAGAACATCAATACAGATCGGAGAATCAAAGGGCAGTTTCATAAATTGCAGAACCCTTAAAGGAGTTTCGAGAAACTGAGGAAATTTCCGGAAACTTCAGCACAGATCCGAGAGAATTTCTGGAACGCAATAAAAATTTGATTGAACATCCAAAAAATGTGAGAGTATTTAAAGGGTTTTATAACCGCCATTATAGTGCGGGAAAAATAGGAAGTGCGGCCATTATAGTGCGGAGAAAGTTTGAGAACACGATTTCTAATCCGTTACAAACTGCCCTAAACATGACCTTCCATTGGTGTAGGAGAGTTAAATGTAAACCCTTCAAAAACTGTCATAGTTCCTTTCATCAAAAAGAAGAAAAAAATATGTTGACACAGCCTACTCTAAATGGAGTTCGAATTCAGTTCGTGGTTGAAGTTAAATACCTAGGTGTTACTTTGGATAGGAAACTGAACTAGAACTCTCATCTTGACAAGGTTATCACTAAGGCTACAAATGCGCTATGGGTCTGTAGTAAAGCTGTGGGGAAAACGTGGGGACTACAGCCGAATATGGTACACTGGATATATTCGGCCATAGTTCGACCAAAAATACACATATATATAATACATATGGTGACCCAAAACAAATAAAATAACCGACAGGAGCAATGAAAAGCACATCATCAGATGTTTTGGATGCCGTTCTCAATATTTTGCCCTTACACCAATTTGTTAAACTACAGGTAGCAAAAAGTGCTTTACAGTTTAACCTACAAAATAAACTTTTAAATTGTGACTTGGTAGGACATCTAAAGATCCTTAAGGATTTCAAGTTAAATTCAGCTGTAAAAACAATAGAAGTATGGATGGTAACAAAGACAAACTACGATGTTCCCTTCAAAGCGGTTAAACCAAGCCGCCATACATGGGAGTCTGGAGGGTCAAACATACGTCCAGGTTCTATTGTATTTTACACCGACGGCTCGAAGATGGGTGAAGATACTGGAGCTGGGGTCTTTGGCCCTGAAGTCAGTAAAATTATACCAATGGAACATAGTCCCACAGCATTTCAAGCAGAAATTCAAGCAATCATAGAATGTGCAAACATCTGTTTAACAAGAAAATAGATGTTTGCCAAGATCTGTATATTCTCGGATGTGTGGGAATGTATTCTTTCCTTAAAACAATTGGTCGAATGGAACGAAGTCATATTATACTGGGTGCCCGGCCATTGTGGCATTGAAGGAAATGAAAATGCCGACAGTCTAGCAAGACAAGCTTCTGCACCGAACTTCATTGGTCCGGAACCATTTTTTGGATTCCCTGAGTGTACTATAAGGATGGAACTAAAAAGTTGGGAAACGTCCATAGTAGAATCCACCTGGAACGCCACAGATGTATCCAGACAGGCGAAAAGATTTATAAGACCAAGTGCAGCAAAAGCCCGGATTTTGCTTAATCTTAGTAAAAGAGATCTTCGGGTAATAACTGGTCACTGCCCCAGCAGATATCACTTATATAAAATAGAAAAAAAATCCGTCTAGCGAATGTCGGTTTTGTCAATTTGAAAACGAAACTGCTGAACATATACTCTGCAGCTGTGGAGCACTGTTCAATCAAAGAATGTCAATATTTGGAAAAGGGATATTAGAACCCTT